CAAAGAAATGCCTCTTCTTTTTTTTTTTTTTTTTTTTTGCGACTTGGAGGTTACTTTGAAGAAGAGTTACATGTGTGACGACCAGGTAAGTAGTAGAACACGCACAGATTCCTACCTGAGCAGGGCAGGTTCCCAAGCTACACTGCTGATAGACATGCTTGTCGTGGATGTTGGCTGGAGGTGGGTGGCCTGGGGCTTCGGGGAGAGGCCAGGAACACGCTGTCCTGGATACTGTCCTATTGCCAGGCTTTGCTTTATTCCTGGGCTTCATCCTGGGCAGCTAAGGTCAGCAGCCCATCCTAAGACATCTTTCCATCCAAATGCTAAGCCAGGCACGGAGAGGTTCTTGCTATTTGTGCTGTGTTTATTTGTGTTTTTAAAACTCTGACTGAAGTGCCTCACCAGCTGTCCACAGGAGACCATCAGGAGACTCTCTGTCCTGCCCACACCCCATATTTAAAACTGTTCATGAGACTTCTTACTATTTAAAAAGCTGAGAACACAGTGTAAATAAAAAAAGGATAAATCTCCATTGTGTAAATGTCCCACATTTTCTTTACCCATTCTTCTGTTGAGGGGCATCTAGGTTGTTTCCAGGTTCTGGCTATTACAAATAATGCTGCTGTGAACATAGTTGAACACATGTCCTTGTGGTATAATTGAGCATCCTTTGGGTATATACCCAATAGCAGTATTGCTGGGTCTTGAGATAGGTTGTTTCCTAATTTTCTGAGAAATCACCATACTGATTTCCAAAGCAGCTGTACCAGTTTGCTCTCCCACCAGCAATGCAGAAGTGTTCTCCTTACCCCACATCCTCTCCAGCATAAATTGTCATCAGTGTTTTTGATCTTGGCCATTCTTACAGGTGTAAGAGGGAATCTCAGGGTTGTTTTCATTTGAATTTCTTTGATGGCTAAGGACATTGAGCATTTCCTTAAGTATCTTTCAGCCTTTTGAGATTTCTCTGTTGAGAGTTCTTTGTTTAGGTGTACTCCCTTTTTTGGATTATTTGTTCTTTTGATGTCAAGTTTCTTGAGTTCCTTATATATTTTGGAGATCAGTCCTCTGTGGTACATTTGTACAGTGGAGTACTACATAGCAGTAAAAGATACTGGCATCTTGAATTTGTAGGCAAATGGATGGAGCTAGAAAAAACATTGAGGTAACCCAGATCCAGAAAGACAAATATATACTCACTTATAAATGGCTTCTAGACATAAATTAAAAAAATCCAGCCTACAATCCACAACCCCAGAGAACCTAGACAACAAAGAGGACTCTAAGAGAGACGTATATGGATCTAAATAGGAAGGCGAAAAAGCCAAGATTTCCTGAGAAAATTGGGACCGTGGGAGTCATGGGGGGAGGGGGAGGAAGGGAGAGGAGTGGAGAAAAATGTATCACACAATTAAAAAAAAGGGGGGGAGGGATAACTCTTTCTCCTGCTGCCCAAGAATTTTTCTTTACCTGAACTTTTAAAATTAGTCTATGGTTCAGAAATATAACAAGTGATTCCTATCAATAAAGCAGATAGCAGAAAATTTCTGCCAAAGTGGTAGAGGCATGAGCTGCCATTTTGTTCGTTTTGTTTCTGTTTTTTGAAATAGAGTTCTGTGTAATTAAGGAGAGTCTGAAACATGCAATCCTCCTGCCTCAGCCTCCAGAGCAATAGTATTCAGACACACCCCTCTTACACCACCACGCACTGCTGTATTTTTTTCAAGTGTCTTTTCTTTGAGTTCCCTGTGAGGAGAGGTTGTTATCTTGGCTTCTGCATTCTCTCAGAGACTTCACCTTGGTGTCCTGTGTGGATAAGGTTCTTAGGCCCTCCTGGCTGCTAGAAAGACATTCTATGAAGATTGGAATTTGACCTGTGTTAAGGTTATAAGGGGCTTATTTCATAGGTCAGGATAAGGAGGAGCAAAGGCAGTTGTGAATTTACAGGTTGGTTTGCTTTCTTATCTTAGTATCCTAGAAAGATGACCTGGTGAGGTCATTTCTTTGGCACCTGCTTGCTTCAGCGGAGGGCTGGAGATTAAGGGCAGTCAGCCAGGCAGTTTATCAGCTACCGTGTGCTCCAAAGACAGAAACTAACTCCTCATTATACCTGAAGAGTGGTTTCCAGTTCTTAAGTCTTCCTGAGACCACAGCACAGAGTTACTGGGTAGATAATCTGTGGGTGGATCCTCCCTCTGGTAAGTAGAATTAGCATTGTCATTCTTGTGATGTTTGGGAGTAGAAATCTCTTCAGTTCCTGTTAGTGTGGCCTTCTGTCATGATAGACAGACATGATGTGTCTCCTGGGGATGTCGTGAGAATGGTAAGGAAAGGAAAGATTGTGTTCCTACCCTAGTAAGCAGTGTCTGAAAGCAAACTCTGTTAGATGTTCACCCAGCTTCCCCTTTCCCAGTCTCCTCAGGAAGATGTGTGTGTGTGTGTGTGTGTGTGTGTGTGTGTGTGTGTGTGTGTGAACACGAGGATGAAGTGTGTAACTAATTATTCTTTATTAAGAAAACATCAGGAGTCAGATATTAGGGTAAGAACCTGAACAATCAGAGAAACTGCTGAGAGGCAATCAGTCAACTCCTACCTCTTCCATTCCTTCCTCCAAAAAGAACATCTTACTATTTCCTGTCTCCTATCTGTCCATAGTCCTCCAGAACTCTATGGTGAATTCTGGTCAGCCGGTGGCTTGCTTCGCCCTCTGACTCCAAGCAAGCTTTATTGTCAGAATGAGATCAAAATATCACACAACAGTCCCCCTTTGTCTAAAAAGGAAATGCTTTAACTAACCTTGTAAAACCATAATAAGTACAATAACTATATACAAATATATATAGGTAAAAAACTACATTAACAATGTCCAGTTCATTTTTATTTAGCAAATTCAGAGGTAATACTCCATTATCTGTCCTATCTTGGTGAGTCCAAAGTTTTGCACCTAATTCACTTTCTATCCTAACTTGCATTACCAACCCAAAATTATCTTTTTTTTTTTATGTCTCTCAAGCTTATACATGTTATACCACTTTTGCAAGTTTCATGTCTGGATTTTGTAGCAAGGAAAACTATAACTATTTAGCCTTCAATTCCATCAGAGACCTGAGAAGAAGATATTACCTGAGTAAAAAGGAAGTATGGAGCAAACCTCTTCCAAAACTAAGAAATGACAGAGACAGCTGGCTACTTGGACAGTCACCCAAGGTTCCTCAGTGATGTTGGGGCATCCATCTTTGGCCTATAGGCCTAAAATACCTGACAGACTTTTGAGAAGCAGGGATTTTTGTTATTGTTGTTGTTGTTTGAGAATGGGTTTCTCTGTAGCTTTGGAGCCCGTCCTGGAACTAGCTCTTGTAGACCAGGCTGGCCTCGACTCACAGAGATCCACCTGCCTGTGCCTCCCAAGTGCTGGGATTAAAGGCGTGTGCCACCACCACCCAACAAAAAGCAGGGAATTTTGAAGGACTGTCCTACCTTGTCTTGAAAAGTTTGACAGTTGGTTTCTTTCTTTTCCTCTTTCTGGTCCAGTTTGGACAGTAGGTAACTATCAGCAATTGAGGCAAAGTCAGTTTCTTTGCCCACATAGCTAGCTTTTTACATAAAGAAAACAAACTCCATATGGAGGTTTTTTTCAAAGCCCATCATCTTTGTTGAAGTAGATCAGTGCTGCCAGGAGCAGTGTCTCTGTCATGAAAAGCCTTTAGATTATTAAACATATTAGATGCTATATTCTATAGGTCTTTGAAGTGTTTGAAGACCATCTATCTCTCTAGATTTATCTGTGATATTTACATATCTACCTAACATGACTAAGTTTTACTATTATAGATGACTATTGATCTGTATATCTTAATTATACATTCCATTTTTAAGTGAGCTACATAAACACAATACCCCAAACAAAAGTAGACACATACATACAATATAGCAGAAATAACTTTAAATTTGTATCAGTAAACTAAAATCCATACCAGTGTAAAATATTTTGAGATTAATAGCTTTTTTGGATTAAAGTGGATTCAATAATCTACCCTTTTTCCCCTATCATTCCTATATCATATCACCTTTTTTCAGGAAATCTCAGTAGGCTTTAAGGAGAAGTTTGATCCTATTCACCTTAACCTCTGCTAAGATAATAGCCAAGATGCTAGTCTAGAATGAGATTTCTTTTTTTAAAAAAAGATTTATTTATTTATTATGTATACAGCATTCTGTCTGGATGTTTGCCTACAGGCGAGAAGAGGGAGTCATATCTCACTATAGATGGTTGTAAGCCATCATGTGGTTGCTGGGAATTGAACCCAGGACCTCTGGAAGAGCAGCCTGTACTCTTAACCGCTGAGCCATCTCTCCAGCCCAGAATGAGATTTCTTTAAAAACAAAACTTATAGGTGCAGCACTTACAGGGCCACAGGTACAAAGGAGACAGCAACATGTGACAGGACCCCAGCCTCCTCCTCCTGCTGTGCCCAGACTTGGTCACACCAGCAGTCAAGAAGAGGGCCCCACAAGGGAGACTGACTGCTGACTAGATGACCTGTCATCTGTCTAAGTCAGAAAAGAGTGAGACTGTGCTGTCTTCAGAGTCGTTGATTGCAGGAAAAGCCGAAAGGTGATCCAGGAATTCTTGCCCACCCCTCCCCAAGCAGTTGAATTCTTACAAGGAGCTGGGCTACTGAAAAAGAGAAAGGGCTAAGTTATCTCAGTAGTTTTGCTTGTTTGATGTACTTAAAAGAACTTTAATTCCCACCCTTCACCATTGTTGGGATTAGGGAGTGGGGTCTAGAAAGCAGTACTTGACTTTATGTATGATGCTATTGACAGTGAGTAGAAACTGAGACTTGCCTCAAACATTTGACCCTCCTTGAACAAAAGTTGTTGAGATAAAGATAGAATTTGAGCTCAGGAAACTCGTGTGGGTAGGTATGTGTAGATATTGGCACCAACTCGGTCTTGAGAAGGAGTCGTGATGCATATATTTCTTTCTGTCTCTGCAGTATGCTACCACGGGCTGTTCCCTGACTCTCCACCACACAGAGAAACCAGAGCATGAAGACATCTGTGAATACCGTCCCTATTCCTGCCCCTGTCCTGGTGCCTCCTGCAAGTGGCAGGGGTCCCTGGAAGCTGTGATGTCCCATCTCATGCATGCCCACAAGAGTATCACCACCCTTCAGGGGGAGGACATAGTCTTTCTAGCTACAGACATTAACCTGCCAGGGGCTGTGGACTGGGTGATGATGCAGTCCTGTTTTGGTCACCACTTCATGCTGGTACTTGAGAAGCAAGAGAAGTACGAAGGTCACCAGCAGTTCTTTGCCATTGTCCTCCTCATCGGCACTCGCAAGCAAGCTGAGAACTTTGCCTACAGACTGGAATTGAATGGGAACCGGCGGAGACTGACCTGGGAAGCCACACCCCGGTCCATTCACGACGGTGTGGCCGCAGCCATCATGAACAGCGACTGCCTTGTTTTTGACCCAGCCATAGCACATCTCTTTGCAGATAATGGGAACCTTGGGATCAATGTGACCATTTCTACATGCTGTCAGTGAGGCTCCGGGAGGCTTTCAGAAACCTGAGAAGTTATTTGGGCGAACGCTCTTTGTTTAATAAAGTTTTTTTTAAATAGATGTTTTATTCAGTTATGTCTTCCCAAGTCAAGACCCACAACTGTCCTATGTTTTGTCTCAACGGCAGCTTCCTGTCTGGCACTGAGGAAGCAGAGTTCACTGGACTGTGTAAACGTGGTTGGCCTGTTAGTGATTCGGAGGCTGTTCTGTGATCTCAGATCAACTCTTTTCTGCCTTCTTCCTGAACAGCTCTTGACAGATTGTCCAGGGCTGGTCCCACCTGCCTCATCCTGAGCTGACAAGAGCACAGTGGCTCTCGCGAGATTCCTGTTCTTTGGGGGAGGTAGGAATGGCGTTGACATCTTTGAGTCTGGGTGACTGACCAGTTTACACACCTGTAGTCTTCCTCTCCAACACAGGTTGAGAGAACTCTCCTCTTTTCAGACAGAGTTTGCGGATTGCCTGCGTGCATCGCAGGGAAGGGTCCAGAATGTGAAGGTGCTGTTAAGGCTGCCCTCTTCTGGCACTGCTGGTCTCTGCTGTCCGCTCCCGCAGCCTCTGCACACACCACATTGAACCCAGAACTCTAGATCCACGCGGACACACGTCTGAGGCTTGATTGCTTTCATGCGTTCAGTGAGTTGGGAGTTCTCACGTAGCTCTCGCTCACCATAGTATGGATGACCTGTTTACACACGGCTTCCCTTGGAAGCCCTCCTTGATGGTAGCTGATGTGAAAGACTAGATCAGTAGTTGAGAAAACTTTATAACCAGTCTCACGTGCTTGCTATTTTAAAGGCATATGTCAGCTGTCTGGGTTTGGGTTTTTGTTGTTGGGTTTTTTTTGTCTCTTTTTTTCCACATTCTAATTTTTTAATAAAATTTTTTTCAAAACATGAGTATTGGTTTTATTTTCCTGCTTGAGTTGTAGGCATATATTGAGCACCTACTGTGTTCAAATGCAAGGGAGCCTCCACCACCACCACTAGAGCATGTACCTTCAGTGTGCCCTCGTCCAAGGTCGGGAACAGCCCTTGTGTCTAAACCCCTGCCTGTGCAAGGGCTTGTCATTAGCGGTGCAGGTCACATCTCTGGGACTGTGTTTGCTGTCTGACTACCAGCTGTCAGGTGAGAAAACAACCCTCCCCTCCCCCGTTGTTTTTTCGGCGGGGGGGGAGGCATGGTTAGTGTTGAGGCCCAGAATCTTGAGGTCCATTCATGGTGGTGCCACACTCTCCTCCCGAGCCCTAAGTCACAAGGGAATTCAAATCAGCCTGAGCATCATTAGAGGATTTAGTGTCACCTCAGTGGCATGGCTAAGCTACCACAGCGCAGTTGGAAGTGATGGCTTTGCTCTCTAAGAGGGGCAGTGTGAAGCTTGTATGTGACAGTTGTGGCAGGCAAGGAGTGCTGGGCTGCTCACTTTGTGTCCTCTTGACTCAAGCTGTCCTCGTTTTAAGACAGGACCCTCGATGGAGAAAATGCACACACTGGATTTGCCTTTGCACCATATCCTTCATTGGTGATTGATAGGGGAGGGTCCAGCTCCTTTTCCGCAGTTCCACCCCTGGGCTGGTGCTCCTGGGGGTGCTAACAAAGGAGGCTTCGCTCAGCCAGTGAGCAGCGCTCCTCCTCGTCTCCAGATTTCTGCTGTGTTTGAATCCTGCCTGACTTCCTTCAGTGATAGATCTTCATATGGAAGCAGAAGCAAAATAAACCATTACTCTGCAAGATGCTTTTCGACGTGGTATTTTATCTAAGCAATAGAAACGCTAAACGATTGCTCCGGTAAACTCTAGGCTGTTTTTCAAATGAAGATTAAAAACTGTCATGTACAAAAATAGGTAATGAAAATGTATTTTTCAAGTGAAGAAAACGCCGCTGTTGGCACTAAGGACGTCACTTCTGACACTGGTGGAGGTGGGCCCACGTCCAGGAGCAGGTGGGACCCAGCCACTCCCATTCGGGCTCATCATTCCCAGGCAGCGTGAGTATACATGGACTGAACATGTCAGCTCTGCTTCCTTCTTGTCTCACCCACCTGAAATCAGGACTCTGGCCAACAATGCAGGGAAAGATAAAGCTACGAACAAGACCCGGAAGGACAAGAGACAGCAGGAATGTGGTATTTTAAGTGCACTGGCTCAGATGTGCAAGAGGGGCTGGGGGGGGGGGGTAGCCAGCCGAGTGGCTGATGACAGGAGCGGCCCAGAGTTCAGGTGCCCTAAGTCCCTGCAGACAGCAAAACTGAGCTCTTCCAGTTAGACGGCCCCATAACCTGACTGGAAATCACCAATCGTGACCTTTACTCTGGCTTTTCTGAAACCTATTTTCTGATGGGAAAAAAAAAAAGCTGAGAATCCCCAGATTGTAGAATTTCAAGAGGAAGTAAAAAACGGGGGAAAAAAGTGATACAGCAATACCTGGCAAGAAGCCAAGTGATCTGTTTCCCGTGTTTTTAATAAATGTAAGATTTGTCTTTCCTTTGTCCCTTGACTACAATCCAGCTGAATGGACAATGGTGGCTTCAGTATGTGACCCTCTGATTCATTTACAATTTCTCAGAGGATTCTATCTCATTCATTCTTTGAAATAAAAGAAAAAACCCCACCCTGAGTTCCCTATCATCAGCATCACTGGGGAGGGGTTGATCTGTGTCTCTAAAACGTGCATGTTTTAGGATTCAGAAGCTTGCTGCCCAGTAGGAATGACAGAAAACTTCAGAGAAGCCTCCTGAGTCATCAGCTGTCTTGGATTCTCAAGTATAACCTCAGGCTCAGCCATTATGTCCAGACTAACAGCCTGGATTGTGTGAGCACCATGCCACTCCCTTTCAACAGCACGCTCAGAAAACCATCCCTGTACTCATTAGTCTCTGTACTAATTCCATTCGGGTTCTTGGAACTTGCCATGTGACCCTAAATCGACCTCTCGGACCCAAGATCCCTGGCCAGCAACATTAGAAAAATGACTCTCTGTCTTACGTAGTACCGGGAGAGGATATTCAGCTCCAGAGTTAAAGCAGACAAACCGTCTTAGCTAGCAGCCTCTGAGCAGGTGACTCCGGGAAACCTGGGAGCCAGCTTTTGTCTGTGACAGGTGAGTCCTGTTTCAGCTCCCTCTTGATTCCCTTGAGTCAGGGCTGCAGGTGGTGCCCCCCCCCCGGGCAGGGAGACCAGCTGTGCTTTGTGGTCCTGCTCTTAAAGCCTGTGGCCTTGACCCATGAAGCCACCCATTGGCGCTGTCTTTAAACCATACCACCTGCTGCCGCTGCTCACTTAAAATGTGCTTTCTGTGAATACCGTTCATTTGCCTTAAAAGTCTCCAGATGACAAAGAAGAACTTGGAGCCTGGATCTCCCTGGGAAGGGGGAAAATAACAGAGCTTTCGTGAGTGGACTGTGGGCAGCTGGGGATGAGAACATGAGAGATCAGGTTAGGGGGGACGGTAGGACAGCATACTGAGACTACTGAGGGGTGCATTTCAGGGCCAGGTGAAAACCACCTGTAATTCTCCCGGGCATCTACAAGGATGACCCCGGCTAAGACTCCTAGCAAGAGCTAGGATACATAGCCTAAACTAGCCATCTCCTGTACCCAGGCAAGACTTCAAGTGGAGGAAGTGGGAAAGCAACCCAGCCACATAACCTTCAACCTACAGTCTGCCCTGCCTATGAGATGTGCTGCAGTAAGGGCAGCCTAGAGATTGACAGAGTAACTAACCAATGACTGGTCTAGCCTAAAACCTGTGCCAGAGAGTAAGCCCACCCCTGACACTGCTTGGATCACAGACCCCACAGCTGGATGTCCCAGAGACCTATTTAGAACCAAACATGACGAGAGGAGGAGAAAATGTCAATGCAATTGTTTGATGTAATTGGTCCCCACAAACTCATAGGCAGTGGCGATATTAGGAGGTGTGGCCCTTGTCTTAGTGGGTGTAGTCTTGTTGAAGGAAGTATGTCACTGTGGGGGCAGGTTTTGAGGTCTAGTTTGCTCCACCTTCACTCAGTGTAACACTCAGTTGACTTCCTGTTGCCTGCAAGATGTACCACTCTCAGCTCCAGCACCATGTCTGCTTGCATACCTCCATGTCCTGCCATAATGGACTGAACCTTTGAAAGTATAAGCTGCCACCTCAATTCAATGTTTTCCTTTATAAAAGTTGCCATGGTCACAGTGTCTCTTCACAGCAATAGAAACCCAAACTAAGATGGTACTAACGTTTTAACAGTATTCTGCTAGACTCATAGATTGGTGTCCAGCCCAGTTGTCATCATAGAACTGATGGAAACAGATGCAGACGCACAGGCAAACATTAGGTAGAGCTCAGAGAATCCTACAGAAGACAGAGAGAAAAGATTGGAGGAGCCAGGTGGGTCAAGGACACCACAGGAAAACTCAGAACCCACTAACTGGTTTCATAGGGATCCACAGAGGAGCCTGCATAGGGCTGGCACACTTTGCATGTTTGTTACAGTTGTGTAGCTTGACCCTCCTGTGGGACTCCTAACAGTGGGAGCAAGGGCTGTCTCTGACCCTTTTACTGGCTTATGAGCCTACTCCTCATACTGGGTCACCTTGCCCAGCCTTAATACATGGGGAGGTGCTTAGCCTTACAGCAACTTGATATGCCATGTTTTGTTGATAACAGTGGGAGACCTGCCTTTTTCTGAACAGAAATGGAGGAGGAGTGAATGGGGGTGAGAACAGAGGTTGAGGGGGGGACTAGGAGGAGAGAAGGGAGAGGAAACTGCAGCTAAGATGTAAAATACTTAAAGAAAAGAACTTGGAGCCCATGGAGCTGATGCCATCACCATTACTACTTCAAGAATAAATGAATTAATAAATAAACATAGTGTGTGGTGCTTCTTCCAGTATCAAAGATTATCCATTAGGCTTTCTGAATGAGGTACCTGGGTGAGGCAGGGGAGGTGGCCGTCGGAATGGAGGCCGTGTGAGCCAGGGAAGGTGGTGGTCGGAATGGAGGCCGTGTGAGCCAAAGAACAGACTATCCCAAAGAGAGAAATAGAAAAAGGACTTCCAAAATCCAAAAAGGAA